CGGCGCGTGTAGATCGGAGCCCCACCCCCTCTCCTCTCTCCGGCACTCAGCAGCAACGTCATATAGAACGCCATAGCAAGGGTATCCTCGAAATTGCAAAGAGACTCGCTCAACCATACTCTACGCCGATCAAGTAGAGGAAAAAACTGTAAATACGTTGCGCGACTCCACCGAGTATCGTTAGCCGTGACTGAGCGCACATCTGGCTTTCACAGTGACTTGTGATAGCCTATTCTGACAAGTCGGTGCTGATATTCTCACAGACAGGTGTGGCACCAATTTGCGACCCCAGAAGAATGAAAGGTTTGATGAGCCTCGCTTGCTCGATCAAATGACTGACTATGTGTGCGTCGTGGGACAATTCTAACCACTGCTCTAAGCGCACCCCACAGTATCTGTATCAATTCGGGATTGGAAAGAATTGCTTTTGCACTGAGAGAGGTTTCCACACTTGCTTCATTCGTATAGTAGCACGACGAATGCAAGACATTTCACACAGCCATAGCAAATGGCCTAAAAGTTCTCGACTTTGATCAATCCTTAGGGAACGTACTATGCTTACGTCTCCGATTTTTAACATCGTTGAGATGACTGAATGCATATCCGGCCCCGTTACAATGCCTCACGGTGATCTTCCGATGTATCAGGTTAAGCTGCTATCCTATCAGACAAGCATGCTAACAATTTACCTACTTCGAAGGATCTACTTACTGCAAGCGGATGAAAGAATTAGTGAGTTTTGAGGGCGCATGTGTGTCGCAGAGCTCCTGCAACCACTGCGCCACAAGCGCTTTTGGCCAGTGGTACAATTAGTGCAATTGTAAAATTTGGCATATTCAGTCAATCTCCCCAAAGAGCACCAATCTTTATGGGATATATGCATATTTTGCATTTCTATGAAAAGCCTCTCCATATGACTGCTTATTATAGACCCGCCTAAAATGAGAATACTCTGATAAGGGCATAACATGTTCTTGAGGCGTTTGTCAGGTCGAAATGTTAGGTAGACGCCTGCTTTGTCCTCTAGAACTCAGTAGCACAGTCCCTCGTTTCAGTCGATTCCTGAGACTATAATTCCCAATAAAGGACGAGGCCGAGTAAAAATCATTGCAAGTCATGTGGTAGAATCTCATGACATTGCAGAAAGTGGCAGTCGAGCTTGTGGCTGTTAAAATGAATCATATCTCTCCATTCGATCGCTTTTTCATTGACTTCGCTTAAAACGATCACGACTAATAGGCGTTCTTTGGCACACAAGTGAGTTTCGACTAGATTCTTCTGCGCTCCAAATCCATAAATATCTAACCTGCAGTTTCAGTATATTAGTGCTAGCCCAGTGCCATATCATTTCTAATTGGAAAGGCAACATTACGAAGACGGAGCATCGGTAGACTAGCGCAAGTGATTGTATAGAATAGATGTACAATGATGCACCCCTAATGATGATTTCAAGCGTACGGCAGATCTCTGAAAGGAAGACATGATGCCAATCAAGCCTCTCGGAAGCCTCTCACGGTGGTACTACTGCAAGCGACAAGGAGAGTTGAAAAGTTGATACGTACCCCCTGGAGTCACTCCACTATCAACAGGACAATAACCATGTAGGTGATTCATGGCATAATGAGTGAATTACTGAACAAGTAGGTTGATTTGGTGCAATATAAAAATAGAAGAAGCGCTTGCAGTCGGCCAACAACTGCTGGGCGAGAGTTGCAGAAGACTCAATTTACAGCACCATAAAGCAGGTCGAATAATAATTGGCCGATACAATGACTTTTGTTGCCCTAACAATAAATAATGTCAACCCCTTAAGTCCTTAAATCCTATGTGGCATTTATATATACCATCGTTCAGAAAGAGCGTATATGGTGCAGTGGTTAGAGGAGCTCTGCTTCGCACACGAGGTCAATGGTTCGATCCCGCATTCATAGCTCGCCAAGCCATCCATCCCACCGGGGTCGGTGAATTGAGACCAGAATGGTCTCAGAGTTGTCTGAGAGGATGAGCAGCACTGACTCGGTCCATCAAGAGGCCACCGCGAGTTATTGTAAAAGCCAGATCTGCCATCAATCACCTCAAACGAATTCAGGAATTAAAGACGACTGCATGGCCTATCCTCAAGGATTGATCGAAGCCGAGAACTTTCCTTTCATCCTTTTATCGTTCTCAACGTCTCGCGGGGCGTGCCGGGATTCCCTACGGCTCACGAAACAATGGAGAGTGGCAAACACTTGGTGAATTCAGGTTTCGAGAAGACATTCTCTACTTAATGATACGACTTCAAAAAAGAAACTCTTATGAAGGTTTTTTCGTATTAAGAGCGCCTATCTGTCGAGAAATTTTCTATGTTTTAACAAAACCACATCCTTTTCAAAATGAATGTATTCCCAGCTGTCATAAAAACATTAGTTTAAACTTGTTTTTTTAGTTCATAGTGCCTAATGGTCAGTGATGAAGGCCGTCGGGAATGAGGTTGCTGTTTGGATCTTTACCACGACGCTTCATAGCAGATTTGCTGGTACCCATTATCATTGACCTTCTTCTATATAAAAAATTATTACAGTAAAGAATCTCATTTGTTAACAATTTACTACTTTTTGGTACGAAAGCTTCATGAGGTAACCACGTATACCTAGCTCCTTCATTCGCATTCCTTCCAGTAATTCAAAAGTTCGACTTTCTGCAAACTTCGGCATAATTAACTGATATATGGAATTGAGAAAACGTATCTTGATTAGCTGACGCGAGGTTCGTAAAGTAGTCGTAGGAGTTTGGCTGACGTTTCGGCTTCCCGACTTCTTCGAAGCCTGGGCGTATGTAGTATCAGTCTATATGAATGATTCAAAGGATCCCATTTATATGCTGCCTAGGTCAGGTTAAAAGATCAAACAAAGCGAAATCTTGTGTAACAGTGACGCATTTGTCCTTCCGGTTCATTTCGGGGTTTTTGGCGCATATCCAAAATGCCTCAAAAGTTTTGCGAGTGGATGTTTTTGATTCCTGCGCTAAGATTGTGACAGTCACAACAAAATCTTTGTTGTTATGTTTTTTGTGTCCCATGTAAACCTACAAATAAATCCGCTGTGAAGCGCCGTGGTAGAAGATCGAACGAGCGATCTTCTTTACGATGAACTGCATTTTCAACCACTGCGCACCGAACTCGTCATTCCCATTGAGTGATATAGGGAAAGGCACCCGGCACGCCCTTTAGTGTACTGTGGTTGTTTTTTTTTTCAATAAAATCTATGAACTTTTCGCCAATAAATGAGACTTCTGTAATAGTAATCATTAAGAATATTTTTATTACAAGTAACTTAGTTGCTCCATTTATAATCCACACTTTCGAAAGTAAAAACCAAGTATTCATGAGAAGGCTATATCTAAAACCTTTATCGATCATTTCTATAGCATTTCATTTATGTCTACCTACAGTTCAGTAGAATGTGTCTTCTATTTCTTTCAGTTTTTAAGTGCTTTATTGCTCAAAGTGCACAAATTCATCATATAGGTTGAAAATTGGAAAACAATGAATGGATCGTCAAAAATAGTGCTGCTTCTAGCATGAGATCCCACTTGATGGGTAAATCTCAATATTGTTTTTATCAATAGCGCGCTTTAGATTCCCAATTCTCAGATCAGTGAGTATTTTCGATGGATCTTCATATTCATAACCATGGCACGCGAAAAGTAACATCGGGTTACGGTTATCTTCCGTAATTTCCAGCCTGTTTGAGTGCTTTATTGAAAGCGATTTTTTTGTGCAGCTTTTTGGCAATCATGCGATAGCTAAAATCAGGTGAATTTAAACGATATATTTTATTTCTCAACCGCTTGGTTTTGCCATCTAATAGTCGAATTAAGATTTTATTTCGTAATCAATCAGAATCCATTTTATTTGACCGTGTAATGCGGTGCTATGATGTTACAATAAACCCAATAACGTAGAGTGGTGTGCAAAAACACATGCGCAAGCCAGGATTCGAACCCAGATCTCACTCTTTCCTGGAGCGCGTGCTGAACCGCTGCACTACCGACGCTCGCAATACGAGGTCAAATGAAATGAAATCTGATTGATTACTGAAACCCATTATCTGTCAGCATGAGTGGGTTCAACCTCGATAAATGACTGCCCACGCCAGACCGTAGACAGTTGGCTGCTGACAGATAGCGCATCGTAGCGTAAAATGAGTGGTGTACAAAACGAGCGTTGGTAGTGCATCGGTTCAGCACGCGCTCCCGGAAAGAGTGAGGTCTGAGTTCGAATCCCGGCTGACCAAATGTCTTTGCACACCACTCCACAATATTGGGCTTATTTCGTTTCACACTCAAGCATTTCTCGCTGGATAAAGTTTTTTTCTCAATGAGCAATCAGTGATCATTAGATATGGCAAATCATAATTATTTTAAAGGTACACTTGTTTTCTAAAAGGGAATTTCTGAAGCGCTGTTAGAGTCAAAAGAAGATTAGGTTTCGCAAAATCGTGTCACTTTCGATGCTTGCGTCCTGTTCTGACCGCTTGTGAAAAGCGAGTTTTCTGCTATTTCAACGCCCTACTAGCCATTCGATGGCTGAAACCTGGGCAATCATGAAGGTATGCGCTATTTTTGAATGGCTTTCTCAATGCGCTCTAACAGTAAAAATAAAAATAACTTCCACACTCATGCTTATATCGCTCAACACAGCTTTTCCGCGAGGCTTTCAATAATCGTTCGATATCTCTAGCCTCGACGATTTCCAAAGCAACTTTGTTTTCAGAAAGAACTTCTCATTATACTCTAGCAGTTGAAAGGAGATTACGTTTCGCAGTTGATCGATATGTTGTAAAAATTGAGATGACTTGGGGCAGATGTCACGAAATCCTACCCTTTGGAGTGCAAAATCCAATTTTCTTCTGAGTGTTACAGCGCTCCCAAGAGTTGTCTTAAGAAATCAACATCTCTGAAGCTGATGAGATTTGTGCTGTTGAAAGATTGTTGACTATTTATAGAAGATACTTTATCCAGCGAGAAATCCTCAAATGTTAAACGAGATTTATTTCGATTGTTACGGCTCAAAAACAAGTTAATTGAAAAACAAAATACATTGCTCAAATTCACTTGATTTCAGCTTTCGAAATAATGCTATTAATTTTGTGGAATGGGCCTTTTAAGGAAAACCACATGCTCACGACAGCAATTCTTGAAAGGCATTTGAATGCGACAGAAATTGTTTCCAAAAGTAAGGATTTGCTGAATAGTTTGGCGTTATTCTTTTTGAAAATACATTCACAAAAGTTCTTCCAATGGCAATTTAATTTTTCTTGGCAAAACAACTCTATAAGAATTGAGATCTAACTATATAATCCCAAAGATCCGCTGTGAATTAGAAGAATGGAGTGCGATTGCAAACGTCATTTTTTTTTTTATTATTAGTAGAGCGTATTATGGGAATCTTTTCATACAACTGCTTACTATCGAAATCAAAATTCTCCAAGCTATCGATTGGCTGCGAAACCAAGATGGTAAAAATAAATGACCAATTACTGCTGGAAGTACATTTCTCTTCGCTAGGAAATGGTTTTTTTTTTCTTTGGAAAAGAAAAGATTTTGATGAAGTATTAGTGGTAATATTGCTAAAAGTATTCATAAAAAGTCTCTGCAGTAATATTTTGATACTTTTCAATGATAAGCACCTTCTAAGAACTTGATTAACTCAAGTTTCTATTGAAACACGCAACATCTTCGTAACCGTCCGAACGGGGCGCCCAGCTGAGGGGCCATAATAACCCTCATCGTTCGCAAAGGAGTATTATCAAGATAAAATGATGAAATATAGCAAAAGAGACTTTTGTAAAAAGTTTTATAGTTGAGAGAATGCCCATTGAAAAGCGATATTAGTGGCAACATTGCTAAAATTTCGATATTAGACCAAGAAATCAAAAAATCGAAGTATCGAAAAATTATCTAAAATTCAATGAGAAACGCATATTGTTATGAAGGAAAACAACACCTTAAAAAATGCTTATTTTCCCTTTTAGTTTGCTTTGTGAAATGCCTTTTTTGTAGATTCTGTTAAGAAGAAAGATGACTTTTTGCAATCAGAGTTCATTTTCCAACTTCACAAAAGATTTTCTTTGTCTTTTTATAGTGAAATTTCATTTTTTAGGAAGCTTTGCTGTTATGATTTATCAAACATTACTGAAGAAATTTCTATAAACTTAAATCTAGTAGAAAGAACGCCTAGTTGTTCGAAATGTTTCCACTTTTTATTTCGATATGTGCGAACTGCAATTATATTCTGTGAAGCGTCCTGTGTTCCCTTGCCTTTTCCAACCAGAAGAGTATTTTTACCAGACTATTAGCAATCAATCAATAGCTCGAAAAACGGAGAATTTTTTATTAAAATTGGTTTATTTACAAACCTTCTTAATGGCCTGTAATATGTCAAAAGAGGACTACGTTTTGTTTTCGGAATAGGTCGCCTGTAGTTTCGGCTTCGCACTGGCGTTTTTTGATCTTTTTTTATCTTGATAACTAATATTCATCGCAGAAACGTATTTTTAGCATGAACATTCCCCAAGTCCTTAAAAAATCGCTGTCTTTCAATTCTGAAGGTAAGTCTTTGGGAAAATCCTACTTCCAGCCCTTATTGTGCATTTCCATCGTATTTTTCTATCTACATGTTTGTCTTTTCTATTTTTCTTTTTTTTTGATTCTTTACAACTTCCATCTACAATCTCAAAAACATGGGTGTGTGCAGTTTCTGAACACCTCCAGCTTTTATTAGAGAATAGAGCAAGATATTGGGTGACAACGACTTCTTTGATCACTCACCAATTACCTCTTCATCAATGCCCCTCGGAGTAATTGGATAGAACAAAGTTCAGTATTGGCTATAATTTTTCCTTGGAACGTGGAAAGATCAAAATGACTTGAATTCTCTCAGTCGGCTACTTCCGAAGGCGAACCTCTGAAGACAGTGATTACCGAGTGATCGAACAGTGAGCATTGTGGAATACGTCTTCGAAGACAGTGCACAAGCCACCTTACATTTTCCTGATAATTAAGAACTTTTGTTGAAATACTCATATGGACGCAATTCGCTTCTCACTCAGAGCTGTTCCTCAACGCAAAAGTATTCGACTCCTCCTTGCATTTGTGAGCTATGAATTATTCGTAGAAATTTACAAGGTCAATCTAGAAGAAAAGATTAATTCCATCAATATTGAACGAAAGATTAGGAAATTCAAACTTTTATTTGAACGTGTTGAGGGGAAGCCGAAACAAATTATGTGATGGAGGGATTCCTCCCACTGGTGTAAACGATATCCATCGGAAGCAGTTGGCCAACAAGGAGGTCTCTGTTTTACTGCTGCACATCTACTACCACCTGAGCGTGGTGACATTGGAGTTGGAGTTTTCACCATGATAATCTACATAATTATACGAACTACGTTCTTTCGAGTGTGTATGACAGCGATCAAGTTTCAGTATATCTGATAATTATTATTGAGGCCGCGTGGTTATTTTATGGGTAATTCACAGAGCCCAGTGCACCGTGTTTCAGCCGTGAGAGCCTCATCAGTTGAGCGTACCCCTCGTCTTAGCCAATTCTCTTGACTTGAGCGTAGTCTTAAGAAAACGATCGAAGCAAACGATATGATATTTCACAAACACCAGCCAAGAGCAACAGAGCGGTGGCGGAAAGGGTCAAATCCGTTTTGATTTCATGGCCATCATTACCAAATCTACTTTCGCTTCTCTTCATTTAGGTCGATTTTTCTAATAAAGATTGTAGGAAGGACTAGAAAGGCATAACAGCGATGCCGATCCGCCGTAGATTTGACAAAACGAAATGAATAGACAGCGAGGGACCTGAAAGGGATGAAGGTAACCGCTTGCTCCTTTTCTTAGCATTCCAATCCTGCTCTTAGCACAAGAACTAAGAAGATGAGAGGTTAGTAGTCGTAATTAGTCATTTGTAAGAAAGCGGGTCTTGCCTATAATAATTCATTTTATAGATGCTGAAGGATGTTCTGACAGACACTTTCTGATCATGGACGAAAAAAAATCCGAATCTTTTTGCTTCAGGCTCCGAATGGACAAGCGGCTCATTACACTCCAGATGTGGTAAGCACGGTAAGGAACTCGTGGGATGCTCTACGACACCTGGATCATTCATTTCATATAAGGAAATGGGAGCGATAAGTTGATCACCGATCAACTGGTTAAGGAGGAAAGAAAATCCAGTGCTTTAGCAATTTTTTACAAAATGCAAGACCATTTTCCTTTACCTATTAGTGTTGATAGTATTATAGCCAAGATTAATTTGCCACTTTTAGCCTCACGATTCGGATATGGAATGAAAGAAGAAGCTACGGCACCGTAGTTGTGGCGGGCTCTTAGTAATATCAGTAGAACGGAATGTAGAGATGGCTTATTAGGACGTGCGTGAATCGAATGTGACCAGTTGATTTATTTTGAGACTGTTGGCGTTGCCGTTGCTTAGAATAGAATTCGATCGACCGGCAGCTGTTTACGAATCAAAGTTTGTTCGATACCATATTACCTCCTCATTAACACTTCATTCTGCAAAATACGTGATACAAAAGTCATTCAGTGCTGATGAACCGAATATGATATCACAGTGAGAAAAAGCCAAAAATTATGAATTTATCCTTTCTAGTTCCGAATGAGAAGAGAGATCGCTAGATGTCCTGAAAAAGGTATGGAGTTTCTGGGATACTTTGCATCATCAGGAGCATACACTCCAAATGGAGAAGTCAAGTCGGTGAGTTAATTACAGCCGAACCGATGGAGTAGAAAAAGGATCTAATCCCATAAGAAATCTTTTTCAAAAAGTAAAAAAGAGTTCTCCTATACTATTAATGTCATCATCACAGAATCATCTCTGAGCTTATAGTGTTTTGATAGGTGGTCTTGATTTGGAAAGCAACAAATATCCGAAAGGCAGTGCTCGTGGAAAATCCATTACTGCAGGATGCGTGTATAGCGAAGGAACAAGGAGGGTCAAGGCAAATATGTTTATTTGCTTCGATCGCAAAACTTTTTGACAGATAGTTACGTGATGGGTGGTGCGTTATGTGTTATACTTCTAGCTTTAGTAGGTTGTGTCTTGAGAGAGTGTGAATGAACATTGCTGAGCAATAATTCAAAAGTTTTTGAGTTGAAATTGTCTGCACAATGTTCTGACCGAGTGAAGCGGAGGTGATGTCAAAGTTGACAGATTAAACTTTTGCACAGAATCACAACAACAGTACCGATGATAACGAGGCATGTGGCGCAATG